GTATTCCATGATGGCTGACCTCCGTATCGGAAACTTATCACTTTTCATCTACTGTTTATTATTTGGAACAATATATAGCCAAGTATATAGCCCGAACCTTTCGCCTCTTTGCACACATTCAGGAAAAGAGAAACAATAAGATATATTTAGGAACCTGGTCTTTCCAGAGAGAAGTTAGAAAGATAATCATAAATATATAATTATATAATATTTACGAACGGAAAAATATGTCCAGGGTAGCCTAATGGACATGACATCTGCCCGGTAAGCGGAACACTGTGGGTTCGATTCTCATTCCTGGACACTTTATTTTTACGTTTATCATTCATCCTTTCATACTTCATCCCTAAGGTTAGAAATAATCGTTATTTCTCCTTTAAAAAATTCGATTTTTCGTTCAAAAGAAACATTTGCGGTATAATTGTCAAACTTCGTTTCTACAATCATGGGCCACATTATATTGTATTATAAATCATAAATATACACTGCGTGACATTGAAAATGGAACACCAAGAAATAGTGGCCAGAAAATCATGCAAATATCAGGGTAGACGCGCCTAACCGAGTTATGCAAATGATGTAAAATGCGCAGCTCTCGTGCGCACATGGAGTAAGATATAAGGGAAGGAACTTGCAGAAAGGACAGTATTCGTGTCGTTATTTCTTCAAGGAAAATCATTGTAGAAATTTTGTTCTTGTGTCAAAAGACACGTGTAATAACAGAGAATGCCAGGTCATCGTAAACGGAGGCAGTTCAAGCAGACAGACGCTTTTACGAAAAGGGCAGGTTGGTCCATACGTCAAATCGCAGCTGATACACACCTTGGTGCGTCCACGGTGCACCGACTGTGGAGAAGATGGTTGGAACAAGGAAATGTGGCAATTTATAGAAATGTCGGTGCAACCAGAGTGACGTCAGCACGTGTGGATCGGCGTATCCTTCGACAAGCAGTGGCGGCCCCACAAGCCACTTGTACCGCCATCCTGCAACATGTGCAAGACACCCTAGATAATTCCATCTCGACCAGAACCATTTCCCGTCGATTGGTTGCTAATGGCTTGCACTCATGCCGTCCGCTAAGAAGACTGCCATTGACCCCACCGAATAGTCGCCAACGTTTGGAATGGTGCCGGCTAGATCGACGTGGATGACGGAATGGCACAGGGTCGTGTTCTCAGATGAGTCGCGTTTCTGCTTGTCCAGTGATAGTCGCCGTGTACGCGTGTGGCGTCGACGTGGAGAAAGGTCCAATCCGGCAGCAATTGTGGAACGCCCCACCGTGCGACAACGTGGAATCATGGTTTGGGGCGCAATCGCGTATGATTCCAGGTCACCTTTACTTCGTATTCAGGGCACTATGACGGCCCAACGATACGTTGATGATGTGCTGCGACCGGTGACACTCCCCTACCTTCAGGGGGTACCCAATGCCCTTTATCAGCAGGATAACGCCCGACCGCACACTGCTCGCATTAGCCAACAAGCTCTGCAAGATGTACAGATGCTTCCCTGGCCACCGTACTCTCCTGATCTCTCACCAATCGAGCACGTCTGGGACATCATTGGACGCCGTTTGCATGCCTTGCCACAGCCGCGTTCAGAAGACGAACTGTGGCAAATGGTTGAGAGGGAATGGAGAGCCATCCCTCAGGACGCCATCCGTACTCTGATTGACTCTCTACCTAGACGTGTTGCTGCGTGCATCGCCGTCCGCGGTGGTCCTACTTGCTACTAAGCCGACGCCGTTCTCGCTCTGTATTATGACTATCATTTTGAAATAAAGATCACTTATTGTTCGTCCCTGTCTCTCTCTGTCTGCCGAGTTTCATCACTTTCTGGCCACTATTTCTTGGTGTTCCATTTTCAATGTCACGCAGTGTACAAGTATTTACGAAAAGGGTTATTTCTGTGATAATTATCTCTAGTATTTACAAATTCACGTAGTTCTACAACATTATTTACTGTCTGTTGTCTAGCGCTAAAGAATAGTGGGCATTTCACATACAAAGTCTGTAGGAAATATTGAAATTGTTTAAATCGCTAAATTATTGAAACTATACCTAAAAAAGAACCACAGGAGCACTGAAAAAATGAAGAAATAAAGTTAAGACAACAGAAAATTCTAACTAAGCTAGACTGCGAATATGGGACGTACAAGGCCATCAGTAATCTAAAGCCGCCGTGACCAGCTAACTACGTTAAATAATTGTTCTAAACACGGATCTTCTAAGTGGAGGCATTCTTCACACTGTCGTGTACAGCCAACCCAGGGGAAGGTTAAACCAAAAAAATCCTATCTTTGAAATGTTCACCCATAATCAACAAATGTAGACCTTGCAGGGAGATGCAGAGTTTAAAATAAGTCATTTCCTTACACAGTGATCTTTATTGAAGACACACGAGATAACCAAGTCATCAAAGACTTCCCACTTCCGCAAGTTTTGTCAAATAGTGTAGATTAACATGAAAAAGGATTAATGTGTAGATAATTAAAAAGCGAGAGCACA